TCAGAGAATCTAGTATAAAAATCAGTATCAACTATGAGGGACTACGAAGACTATGGCCAAGAAAACATTTTGTACAAATTTAGCTCATACTTCATTCCTCAAATTTATCCACGGCAATAGTGGTAATCATCTATCTTCTCGACTCTATATTTATTTATTTTCCAAAATCATTGAGTTGAAGTTATTTTTCATGTAAGATATTCAAAACAAGCAAGTGACAAGTCTATTTGAAATGTATCGAACAAATGGAACAGCATATTCTTTTCACAAACATTAAGCTGATTTTTGAAGACAAAAATTTCTATGAATGTTTTCAAAATCTAAAATTTTAGGTTGAAACATCATTTTCTCATACATTAAAAACTCGGCCTCAAAGTCGTTTGATAAAAATGCAAAGATTATATTGCAGTAGATACCATATTGATCACTCGCAAGATCAAATTATATTTTTCAAAGTTAAAATATTCGTCAATCATTTGTAAGATTAAAATATTATTTCCCTAAATTGTTTTCCACATTTTTTGTTTCACCATTTGTCTCCAAAAATTAGATAAAGAAAAAAAAAATGAAAGTAATTTTAGGTAATCAATTTTTTTTTTTTTCTTGGTCACGAGGTAATCAAATTTAAGTTTGATCTTTTCAAACCTAAAAACTATTACTTCCAAAGAACTATTTACTTATATACAAAAATGAATGGATGAATTATGTTGTATTCAATTAATGGAAAAATTAAGCAAAAGTTTAAACATATAAAAGTTGTTGAGTTCGATTGTGATCTACATCATCCTGACGACTGGAGAAGAAGAGGAATCATCTCTGTAAACACGTTTAAGTCGAACTCCACCGTTTATATATACTTTGGTTATGAATTCTGTCGATTGACTTAAATATCTCAGATTAAGATCTTCGAGCAAAACGTCATGGATATGTAATCCAGATCTTTGAAACATGTTGTTTGATATTTGGAAGATTCAAACCCTTGAGATACGTCCATTATAACCGAGAGATTGAAATTATAATCG